CCATCCCTCCCCACTCCAGTCTCACGTCCCTCATCCGATTTCCTATCCTCCGTGGTTTTTTCGAACGCCCCTACTTATTTCTTCAATCCTCTCTCGATGTCAGACTCTGGTATTGAATTCTACACTAATATCTACCTACAACTCGAATGAAATATCTTCTATCACTTCAAAAACCACAACATTAATCAAACTCGTACAAATATCCACTCGAGAAAAGTTGAGATGATCATTAACTACAAACTCAAAAGGTATGTAAGAAAGAAAAGGCTAATTATTGCACACTTTTGCTGTAAACGACCGAGGGGTATTCCTATCAATTCTCAAAACAATGAAACAATCAAACCGTGGTATCGCATCATATCTCATCGTACCCAAAAAGCCAAAGCCGTATTGGTATCCGCATTATGTCCTGCCATTATTGAAGACCACTCATCTCCTGACCTCTAGCAATCGCACACCTATTAAATCCCAAACACACAACAAAAATAAAGAGTGCGTAAAGTACAGTGCTGAGAATGGTCGCTTCCGATAAACAATCGTGAACAGAGAACTGACTATTTGGAAACAAATTGCAGTGATGTTCAAGTAGACCAAGCTACAAAAGCAATTTGTGTGTTAGTGAAAATCCTCATTTAGATATTTTCAACAACGTGAGCATTGATAGCCCTTTGTAAACCGGAATCCTGACCTCCGAAGTCATTAGTATCATTTCTGCTAGTCGAAGCACCTGCATGATCTCCTGAACCTTCTCCTAAAGCATTTGCCATTTGACTTCCGATAGTTGATGCACTTGGTAGGAAGATAACCTTGCTATTGGCGGTTTTTGCCATAGCTTGCATTGCCTCGAGATATCTGATTTGCATGGCTGGAGCACTGGACAAGATATCGGCAGCTTGACGCATAAGCTTAGCGGATTCAACTTCAGCACGAGCCGCAATGACTTTTGATTCTCCAATACGCTTAGATTGTGCGGCCATGGAAAGAGAGTCTTGGAGTTCATTGCTGAAGATCATATCCTTAATGAGCATGCTCTCAACCTGGACACCCCATCCTGATGCAACATCCTCAATTATTTCTTCGATGGATTGCGCAACTTCTTCCCGACGTTCGATGACATCTTGTAAAACACGAGCGCCAACAACGTGGCGAAGGGTAGTCTGTGTACGTTCTATCAATGCTTGTCGCACATTTGAAATACCAAATGCAGCCTTATGAGGAGAAGTAATGTGGTAGTAGATGACAGAGGTCAAATGTAAGGTGACGTTGTCTTTGGTCATGCAAACTTGTTGAGGAACCTCTGTAGAAATCAAAGTTAATGGCACATTCCAGGAGAATGGAATTTCGCAAAATCATAGGAATTAAACATACCAACAATCTGAATCTTAACATCGACTTGAATGAGACGTTCGCTGAGAGGGTTAATCTTGACTAAACCAGGATCGACTGCACGATAGAAGCGACCGAATTTGGTAACAAGACCAACATTACCCTGCGATACTGGCTTATATGGATTTGGGCAGATAATACAACAAGGGACAGCACCGCAAGCACCAATACATGAGCCGAGAGCATTAACTATGTGCGAAAAATAATTAGTTTGGATCTACTACATTGCGCAATAATCTGGAAAGGTCTCAAACTTACTCATGCTTCCATACCATCCGTTGGTACTTGTATCATCATCGCCTTGCAAAACTTGGGCATAGGAAGGTTGAAGATCTTCTCTTCTTGGTGGTTGAACATTAATCAATGGGCCCTCGGAATGAGCAGCTCCTGTACTGCGAGAATGATTGTATCCATTATGTTGAGCTGCTGAATTACCAGCGGCCGAAGTCGATGAGAATGGTTTATGAACGTCGTCACTCGTAGCTTGTTTACCATCAAAGCTTGAAGACATTCTGAAGGTTTGAGGGTTTGAGGGTTTGAGGATCTGTAAAGGATTTGATTGAATGTTGATAAGAGTAGAGTAATAAGTAGGTATCTAATCAGAAGAATGTGATGAAGAAGTTGTAATGTGTGTGGTGATAATTTTGTGTTTTATAAAGTGGTATGACAACTATAAGAATGATTCCGAGGTGGACGTTTGGGTTGATTATGTAGTTTATTAGTGCAGCAAATGATCAACTGCAAGGTAACGCCAATTGGTACGAAGTAGAGAAGAGACGATGGAGCTTTCTGACTGTGAATGCTTGGACCTTTTTGCGGGGAAGGAATAGGCTGGTGGGGCTGTACGGAGTTGAGGTGCTAAATAAGTGGGGTCGCAGGGTTGATGTTTTAGATCATTATCAGGAGGAGAAGGCTTGATGAAGAGTGATGGAGTGAGTGATGGAGTGAGTGATGGGGAGAGAGTGTGTGTGATGAATGAAGGGAGAAAAAGACTTGAGCGAGTCGGTATCTCAAAGACCCGATTAAATATCAATATACATACTAGGTATGGGTTGGATTGGTACCAAATATATAAATGGATAGATGATGCCTTGACTCCTGATGCTAGATACTTGATACCACATTGTGCCGGCTCTTCTTTTTTACTGCGCCTTTACCCTTCATCCCTCGAGAGAAAAAATGAACCTTGTGAAGCCAGAAAAACTTGATTATCACTACATCACTACAAACAGGTAGAGCCACTCAAAAGGTCTACTCATCCCTTTATCGGCAGGGAATGTTGAGCCCTTTGAAGCGTTGCGCCCGGCAAAGCGGGATTTATGAGAAACCTTACCTCACACATCGATCCACCCTACATCAAATTATATCTCCTACAGAAAGAATTTCATCCGTCTTACGATTCGCTACTCGGTCGACAACACTATCATATACGGTATTCAAAAGTCACGAGCCACAAGTCACGATTCAGGGCTCACGAGTCACGAGTCACGATTCAGCGCTCACAACTCACAACTCACAATTCACGACTCACAATTCACGATACACAATTTCCCATTCTCCTAAGGGTGCGTTCGGTTTGTTTTCTTATTTATTTGGAGAAATTTATAATGTTGTTAAAATGGCAAGAATATTGAGGCTAATATATTTGAGGTAATATTAGATAATATTGGAAAATGATAGGGGTAAATAATAATAAAGATTTATTAAAGAATTACTTATAAAGCTTTAAAAAGCTACTTTATAACTAATATATAACAATCTTAAAAGTATTTGTCATTTTAATTTATTTGAATTATTACAAATTCAATAAGGCCTAATAATTTATTTCATAATTTTAAACATTTGGTAAATCTTTTGTTTGAGCTTAGTAAGTATTATTTGATAAATAAATGAGGTCTAATAATTGAAATAAGCCGAAATAAATCGATCCGAACGTACCCTAAGTCATCTCTACATCGTCGAGGTTGTATAAGCAGAGGGCAACACGCACCTCGCATACATTACACGGCCAACTCCAACATCCATCTCATCCCACCCTGGAGAAGGCGAAAGATATCATTTCTCAAGAGTCCCTCAGAATAAATACAAATACCATACCACCGACCTGTGAAGAAGAACCTGCATACCCCTCGGTCCAATTTGACTCAACCCGAATCCAAATTCGAAATCTTCTGATTAGCTTTCAACCACATGGCTTATCGTTCACCAGACCTTCTAGAAGTTTACTCCATCTGGCATTGACCTGCCTCGTGAAGTCGTGAAAGCTGTGCCATGTTATCCATCCTCGCATCTTTACGTAAGATGTAAAATCCGCCTTGTCTCTTCTCTCAAAATCCTTGCTTTACATGTTTTCTCGTTTTCGTTATAATCCATGTCTCATTTGATTCCATATCCGAAGATCTCAAAGCTCAGCCCTGCCAAGAATTCCTCAATCCCATCTTTGAGGATTTACCTAGGACTTTTAGTCAGTTCTCGTACCCACATTTTGTCGATACATCATCATCTCTTCCATCAATTTTTCAGAAAGAATTCATCTGCCTAATCTATTCAACAAACGAACCTCAGCTTCCTAATTGAGTCTTTTACTATCCGTTTGGCGAGATTGGAATGCCATCTTCTTTCTTCTGATGAAGGAGGCGCAGTCTTTACATATATTGAGGTTACCTGCAAGATTCTCATTTGTTCGTGATAATCAGACCAATAACATCCATCTGAAATGGAGCCGATTCATCCGACTCAACTTCCAAACTCCAATAGGTATACATCGTACAGCCGACATAGTTGTGAAACGACAATCTCTCATGGTCTACTCCCCCTCTGGTGATAAGATCACCTTATTTTATGGCACGGGTATCAACAGCTTCACTCCACTCTCCGAATAACGAATGTACTCACTGCGCCTTTTTCTCAGTCTCGGTATCATACATTACCAGATCAGGATTCATGTAGCGATCACCCAATGGATAGGTTTCACGGTCGGCTTCTGACATACACTGCCGCTTTGATGTCCGAGCCATCAATTTCAGCCTTCCATTTACAAACAAAATTATGCTTGTCATCTCGATACAGATGTTTTCCTAACGGAGAGCCTCATAATGCAGTAGACAGGGCAGTGTACCGAAGCCGGCTTGGCATATTTCATGTGATATTTATGTATCACATGCGATGAATACAAACATGCTGGAAAGTGGGAACTTGGAAGTCTTCAAGAGCTTTGAGCGGAGAATGCGATAATACAAGTGTGCTAGTAAGAGATTACACAGTACGAAATGTCATGAATAAATAACGAACTCATCTACTGGTGGAGGGCTAATGGCTTTCCGTCTCATCCACGCTCAACACTCCTCAGCGGTGAGCAACGACGAGCAACGGATAACGAAGTTCTATGTGCAGCGTGAAATTTCTTGAGTATAAGGAAACTCGTGCTCAATCTCAATTACTACTTGTTAGCCTTATCACCAGTGCGATGAAATCCCTGTGTAAGTGTGACCAACAATAAACCCCCAGTTATACTACTAGTCTCTAACTACGAGTATTCATGCGATCCTGACCACGTATACGTAACCCAGAAGACAACCAATCGTAACAGACGGATTAGTATCCTCTGGTAGAAGCTACGGTTTATTCGTCGATTTTTCCGCATCTTCTTTTTGAGCATCAACGTAGATGGGCAGTAGCTTCTTTAAGTAGCACTTTTGAGTCATTACGTTGTTTTGATCCTTTGCCTCCCCTGCATGCGCTTTGGAAGCCTCCCAATCGATGGTGATAATCCTCCTCCGTTTATATTTTTTGGGCATCGATAAGGTTTTGGGGGTGGGAGGTTGCTCATTCTCATTTCCATCTTCCTCGTCATTGTAGAACATCTGTCCCTTTTCCTACTTACCCTTACAAACGAATTCAAGCTTCATTATGGAATCGTATATCCTGAAGCGGGGGTCTCTTCGATGTTCTCGCCTATTGCATGTCCCTTGTTCCTGGGGTACTCTGTCTTGACTCTACGGAGAAATATCAATATGTGCTTCGTCCGCAAATACCACAGCACCTCAATATCCAAATATTGCGTCATGAAAATTAGTGCTGCCATATCCGTAATAGTTCTACCCTTACAGTCCTTCTTTGTGATAACCTTCTCGACACCGGAATGAACGCTTATGGCCCCGTGCGTGGAGAATTCCAGCATCTGCTCGTGCCATTGTTGACATCAAGAGTTCTAACTTATTTCGAGAGTCGATACTCAGCTTGAAAGTGTGTCCGACTCATGTCGAAAGTCATGCATGTTGGAGTCAAGTCAAAGGAGCACAAGAAGTACGTATGACTCTGAACATGAGATATCCTTAGAGATAATATAGAACATTACGGATAACATTACTAACAATCCTGTCGTGTTACAGGCCTTCTTACAGGCGAACATCATCAATTTTTTCGATTTACTGAAATTTTTGACCAAGCACAAATAAAGGGCCAAGAATTCTTCCTAAGAAAATCGGGGCGTACCTCCCCCCAAAGCCTTATAAATGCTTTTCTGTAAGACCTCTCTTCATTCTTCGGAAGAGGTATCAATTAGTATAATCTAATTTCATAATTTCTGTACTGATAGCGCCGATGTTTATTATGCAAGCTTCACAAATCTATATTCGTGTTTCAAAATTATCTCTGCCTTTTGAACTATACGCTCCGCAATATACCTTGGATAAGTATCCACCTATCTACAAATTTTGTAGCGGCATCAATTCATATACCGCCTAAGGGCGAACTCAGACCCCTGATAAGGGAATCGCTTATGATATCCATCCGCCATATTTACAATTTCCTCCACGCGTGTTCTTAAATAGGACTGTAGCCTTCTTCTCCATCTCGCGAGGCTGTCTGAGTTTAGTGTCAGCACAGAAGTACCAGGCCATGAGAGAAGAGCGAGGACGCTTCGCATTTATGGAAGCATCGTCTCGGATGAGGGAGCTAGAGCCAGTATATCCAAGAATTTTTCGGCAAATCGATGATGGAATCCCGGCCGGAACCAGGTGTTGACCATGTTCGCCATCCCCCGCACGTGATCTGTCAACATCCGTTCCACAACGTCTTTCTGAGTGATGGTACGATCTAATAGCAGACTCATCTCACCTCCAAGACTTTTGAGCTCCCCGCTGTCGGAGTACGGCTGAACATACTGATTAAGTAGGTTGATCATATTTTGAGCGCCCTTAGCATCATTCAGAGCGTCTATATATGCTTCGTTTTGTGTGGCAAACTGGCGGACTATTGCGTTATTACGTGTTCGCGCCATCATCTTTTTGTCTCTAGGATGTAATTTATCTACCGTATTAATTGGATTAGAGTGAAATATTTGGTTATAAGTCATACTGGATTAGTAGACTACGTTCTAGACTATTAAAAGATTTTTTTTAATTATAAGAGAATATTAATAAAAATATAAGAAATATAAGAAATACTTCATTTCCACTCTTTTTTTCATCACTTTTCAACACTCCTTTGAAACTTTAAAACTATTAAATTAAAGTAAAAGCTATATATTTATATCTTTATTATTATTACTCTCAAACTTATTTAAATTAAGAGATTAATCGAATCTATATTATGTTTTATATATGTTGTAACTTTATTATTAGAATTAAAATATTTTGAAATTTCTTTTTTTCTTTTTTTACTAGTTGTCACGGGACCACCTCTGAGAGCATTCAGAAGCTTTACCGCTGAGCTAAACAGTTCAAAAGACCAGGAAATAGAATCGAAAGTTCTATCTTGCTCTCACATATATATTAGGACAGGACAGGACAGGAAGGGCTAGTATTACCTCGTAACACTAGTATAATATATTACTGTATAAGTTATAGAGTTCTATACTATAAAGTTATTTAAGATAAAAAAAAAATTATTAAGAATAAATTCATTTATAATAATAACCTCTTCATTAATTCTTTTAAAAGTTTTAAAAGTAGGAAGAATATTAATTTGAATCACACTCTTAATTCGAGTATAATCTTCAATTTTAAAATCTAGAAGATTCATTATCTTGAGCTATTTATAATAAACCTGAATTATAAGACATTATATGGTTTATATGACTACGTTCAATCTTATACTCAGACAGATTTTTTATTTATAAGATATTATCACCTGATCCAATTGATACGGTACCCGTTCTAGCTCTATGTTGAAAACGCTAATATTATGTTACATATCCATGATCTGGTTTCAATCTTCTTAGCTACGAGATAATATATGACTGATTGAGTTAATACCTGCTCATAAAATCTACCAAGATGGTGTTGCGATATAAGACACAAGTCCCGGGCATCCTCGAAGGATCTGACAGCTGATTGTGCTAGATCTGTAACGCTTTGAGGAGGAGGTTTCAGTGCTTTGGAATTGTTTTGTATCCCCTTCACTGTGCGACGTAGATATTCTGGAAATTGTTGGCGAAAGGTTTCCCCATTTTGACTTTGGTTCCATAGCTCAGGGGGGTTTGCATCCGCCACCATCTTCATCGTTAAATCAAGCAAGGTCGCATAGGCAGATATGAGTTTCACGTCTACCCTTACAGTCACGTCCAAATGGACTCTGGCGTCACTTTGCAACTTTTCGATTTTGTTTTGAAGCTGTCGACCTGAGCGATAGACTGTCAAAACTTCTACGATTTGCTTTACTTGCCTGGGTTCCCGTCGAGTTATTAACACAGTGAATTCAGTAACAGCAATCTTATCCTGAAGGTATCATAGGGCTGCTAATCAGTTTATAAGTACTTGAAGACCTCGAGAAACAGGCTACAAGTTCAAAGACGATGGGCAAGGACTGGGAGCAGCCCAAAGACAAGCAAATCAAGGAGTGGCTTCAGATGGTGCAAGAAAGTTTGGCCGCTGTCCAGAAGATTGAAGTCGCTCGAAAAGGATCCACACAAGCCTCTCGGCCCGCCAGGTCCCTAGTTCTCGCACTTGCATCGCCACCTGCTGTAGCCGAACAGAGTGTGAGTCAGCATGTCGTGTCAGCTCATCGCTTCTTAGTAGACACCGCGAAAGAGGGGGTGCAAAAATGCCAGCCTTGCGGTCGATCAAATGAAGAAAACCCTTGTAGAACTGCAATTCAACGTCAGCGAGATCACAGCCAAGGGGCAGAATCTTGCCGGAGCAAAATTGACACTGGTGAGGGCATTTGGGTGTGAATAGAGACCAAGATGATTTGAAAACTGAGTATCGTTCAGAAAGATATCAAGGAAATCCTGAATGATTGCATAGACTACGTCATAACTCTGAAGCATCACATTACGCACATAGTAGTCTTTTTCCGCACATTCAAACCCAGAGTGTACACGGTGTTGATTTCCCAAATTAAGCCATTTGAAGGAAAGGTCGAGAAAATCATTAATAATCATAACTTGTTGTTCGATCTCATGGTAAGTACTTAGTCTCTTCTAGTGCAAACATTTTCGACATGGGCCATGCTAAGTTTTCTCAGCTTCTGCAATCGAACGCAATTCAAATATGGGCTAGTTTTGAGCAATTCAAAGATATTGCCGACATGTACAGGCAGATTTACAAGCCTCATCTGATCGATGGCCTTCTTCTCGTCGATCAGATGACCCGACTACGGAAGGAAACAAATTTTGCTAGTCAGTTGGAAAAGATCGAGAACTGGAAGAAGACCGTTCAAGGCCAAGTGGATCAAATCGTCGAGAAGGTGAGTCCCGATGGTCCTAGGCTTTATCGGATTTTGTGTAGAATTTATCTATCAAACACACTTGCTAATTCCACAATATTTTTACTAGCAAATATCTGAAGTGAAGAGGGTGCTGAATGAGGACGAAAAGGATTTACTCGAGAGTCGACTCAAGCTCCCGGCTGCTCCCTTTTGGGAGCAACTGGCAATTGAACGGGGGGCCGTAGAAGCCAGAAAAGAAAATATTTTTAGGATAGAGGAGGTCAACCCAGCACTGGAAAACATGGGGAAAACACACAAGGATCAACCTATAGAGGTACGTTATATCAATAAAAATTTCAGGTACAGAAAAGCTAATGAGATGGGAATGGTCGGAACTTGAGGATATCAAGCAGCTCACAACAAGTAATGATTATGTTGCCTCGACGCGCCGCCCAAGAAGAAATTGAGGAGCAAAAGGCCTTGTTGGGATTCTGTTGGCAGAGATAATGGCATTCTTGGGGTGACAATGAAACATATTTTCATTTTTGATGTACTTTTATACGGTGGTTATATCACCTGATTTACGCTAGAAAATGAGTTTTTCTTAACATTATCTTTTTCAAGAAAGCAAAGCAAATTCTTCTTAATTGAGTTTTTACTAAGACCTCTGTTCGTGTGGCTAATTTCTATTTATAATCGTAAAATAACCCGCACCTAATCTTCCCCTTTATTTGCTCTCGGTTATGGTCTCTCAATCGTAAATTTTGTTTTTGGTCGGGAAGGAGGGTTCATGATATATATTCTGGGGGAGAAGGAATGTGGTCATGTAACTTATTTCTGATGGTCTATTATCTAAAACTTTATATCAGTAAAAAACAAAAACATTATTCGAATAATGACATTGAAAGATCTCAGCGCGCTCAAACTCACTACTTCATGTTCTTGAACTAGTAAGAAGTCATAGGGTGTGGTTGAAATCTGAGCACTTCAATTGAGAGTTAGCAATTGGATTGATTGCGATTAACGAACTTTTATCTGGATTTATGGGCTGATGGGGTTGAAAAGCTCACTTTTAATTGATTTGGTGGATTTGTCAAGGGTTTTCGCTAAATTTGTGGTTGCTGAGATGGGGATGGAGACTGCGGGGGAAGGAGTGCAGAAGGGGTGTGCTTTCTTGCTATAGTTTACCTATACTGGCTCTTTGAAAAGAAGTTCTGGGCGGCTATGTGTATGTTAGCTCGCTCGCTATTGGTCTCATTGGATCTTTATCTTCAGAAGGGAATGCGTGGATATGCACTTGATCGTTATGTTATTTATGGTAGCGGGCTATGGCTTTGTATGTTATTTGCTGAGACCTAATTGTATTCCTGTTGCGTATCGAGATACTGATTACAATGTATAGATTATGATGAGTAGTCATTGGAGGAATACTATCTGCACTTTTATTTTCGAATTTGAAATGGTTCTAAAATTTTACATTGGTAATACTGGACTTCTGTTTGATACGAGGCACTTCATGTCTTCTTTTGAGAGAATTAGAAAAACTCAATTTAAACTAATGTAGAGGTTGAGATACCAGCACCTAAATACTATTGTTTGGTAGTTAATCATTTTGGGTGCTCGATTTCTATGTAACTTGAAACTTCTCTAGTACACAGGGTAGTGAGAAGATCTCTTACCATGATCAACGCATATAGATACCCAAGCAATTTCACCCAAGAAGTCCACTTTACCCTTTTCATATTTGCATCTGGAAGAAATGAGTATTGCAGTGTTCATTCAGTGTGCAGCATATAAGTTTCCTTGATTGAGAGTCCAGCCAAAACGAGCCCAGAGCCGAGATACATGTTGTGGGCTTGTGAGAGATCCAAAAGATTGTAATTGAAAGCTCCTCGGACTTCTCAAACAATATCTGACCAAACTTCCGATATGCATCAAGATTTAGACAGTGCTGAGACACAGAATAAATGACAAATATGGAGCCCCAAGTCAAAGAAACGTCCGTTTATCACTCCTCATGATGTCCTTCCATCCTAATCATCACCACCTGGACTATCGAGCTCAAATAAGTAAAGTAAGCTCCAACCGCATTTAGGCCCAATAATATGATGTCATGAGAACTGATCAAAAATTAGCTTAGGAAAAATCTGCCTAGATGGTAGCTTCCTACGTTGCTTAGCATTCACTCCAGTACCAATCATCGCCTTTAGCCTCGCATTGCTCCTTGAACTCCTGGATGTTTGCACCATAGGGATTGCAGTAGTATTCAGCCCAGTGATAACAATAACAATCGTCCTCCTTCAAATTGTTACAAATATCGCGGGTGACTTTCCATTCCTCAGATACACCTGTAGGCGTTATCTCCATAGGCATATGTGGTGGTGGCAGTGAGGAGGAATCCGAGGTAGATAAACTTCATGGCGAAAACTGTTGGGAGGAAGTGTTTGTTTGATCTTGGGAAAAGGCAATGTTTTTAAAGTAATTGCTCAGATTTGAAGATGTAAAAGTTGGTTGATGATTGCTGGGTTTGATGTGATGGTCTAGGAAGGGGTTCTTATACACAGAGACCTCTAGCAAAAATGAAGCTCCGACGTCGTTTTCTGCTGGTAGTCTCACTCTTGACGCTTCAGTCTCCATGGCATGGCGCTAGTAAGACACCATGTACGTGGCGACAATTTTCATTCCCATCGATTGCACATAATTTCAGCTACCTATTCGACTTGTGCTATGGGCTATCTTTTCCATTTCTGTCGCCTCGAAATCTTTTATGCCTACCTAGATAGACACGATTCTGGTTGCTTGAAGCGCTCCACAAAATGTAGTGCAGCTAATTACATGATAGCTCCTGCAGTGCCAGTGCCTGTCCCTGTATCTCATCAGCTACGCCATTTATGTTAACCTTCGACAGTGTCATATATGATATCTAACCAAACTCAAATGTACGTCACAAAGAAGAGTTACGATTGCTAGCTTACCCCATACTCGGTAAGCTTAGCGAAATATCGCGCTCATGATGAAAACAATGGGACAAAGCCGATCATTTCCACTTGGTGATATCTTCGATAGTCTGAAGCAGTGATCACCAAATTGAGCTTACTCAGCATCTTTGCCTTTTGCCAGCCTCCCAAAAAGCGAGAGATGCATCACCCGAGAGATCGCGAATTAATTCTCCGGCTCTTCTCTTCAGCCGCCACGTGCTCCACATTTCAAATTCGTTCGGACATTCTTGCGGGGGATTCCCCCGTGTTTTGTATGACTTCAATCTTCGGATGAACTATGAAACACATTACTAAATCAATATTTTATCCTCTGCTCTTTCTTGCTGTCTTTAGAGATATATCCCTTACATCATGTCGGCGTTATGTCGGTAAATACTTCATCTCGAGAATCGTAATGCTGTGGATTGCGGAGTGTCGTACATTCCATGTTACTTTGCTTGAAAATGATGAGTTGTGAAACTTACATCGAGATCTCGATTCAGTAGAATTGCATGAAACTGCATCTCAGCTGGTACGGGGAGGATATGAGGAGAGATGATAGATTTGATGTCATCTCCTGTTCCTCATTAGGAACTTGTGCTTTGGTACAACTGTCTTCCGGTTTGATAATCACCACATGACTTCCAAAAAATAGGTTATCGTCCGAAAAATAGTATACAGTCAATACATGAAAGTTTCCGTCCTCATGATGTCCCTTCTATACTAAACCCACTATGACTTGAATCAATACTCTTCGAGAGAGGTATTACAATTTCCTCCCACACACTTCTATTTTAGAATCTTCTTATCGAGTTAGGATGACAAAGTCATAGGGAGCTAATACAGAAGAGGCTGTTCATATCCCCTTAGAATCACATTAGTTGAATATCCCTTGATTGTTCACATCGTAGTCGGGATTGCAATACAGATTATTTGATTCTCTACTCTTATTATAAGAGCCCAGGGATAATAAGACTTTCATATTGATAAATAGATAGTAGAAATCATCGGATGTGATCATAAGTGCGCTCAACAGAAACCCGAATAGAGGACATAAATGGTATATGTTCACTTCACAAAGCTAATCTCCTATCGAAGTGAAAAATATTGAAGCAGCAAGAAGTTACTTCCAGTTCATTGCGGAGAATTTTAATCCACCAAACATGATACAGTGTACATCAATGCCACTGATGCTTCGTTCTAAGTTCCGTAGATAACTGCAGAATTACGCCTAACAGCGCGTGGGAAATATAAGAAGAAGAAGGTAGATCATGGCCACTCTGCTTATTCCAATTCACAAATCTTGAGATTGGAGTCTCAACCCCTGAAATCCAACTCTTTTGGCAGTGTGTTCATGGTCACCAGGGAGTCCGTCCCAGGCAACTCTTTTCGCTTCTCGGGGTCCTTGATATCGGACTCGTGGAGCTGTAGGTTTGGTCTGTTTAGATCCTTTCGCTTCAGACGCTTCTTTCAATCCATCCCATGCGACTCTCTTCGCTTCTCGGAGCCCTTCATATCTGACTTTTGGTGCATCGGGTCTGACTCTCTTTACTTCAGGAATGTCAATCAATCCATCCCAAGCAACTCTTTTTACTTCTAGTCTAGTATTCAACGCATCATATCGAACTCTCTTCGGCTCCGCCACCCACTTACAGAAATTAACATTCAACAAAGCCTCCTCATCAACCCATAGGCCACCACCCCAGTCATTGTGACATCTGTCTACAAGTTCTGAAAAGGCAGCAATACACACTTCCTTGGAGCGAAAATTAACCACCTTACCAACATTCGCCGTGTTTCCGCTTCGATCATTATACTCGGTCCAGTCTCCCACAAGCTTGTTCCAGTTCTCCTGGCAGTACTCGGAGGCGAATTGTGAAAGCTCTTCTTTTTGAACGCGTTGCACTTTCTGCACGCCTTCTATGTGGTTGTAGCATTGGTTTGCGAAGACCGTCGAACAAAGAGTTAGTATACTGGAAATCTTCAAAAAATGCATTGTATGATTGATTTGGTGTTGATGCTGGGCTGTGTGAGTCAGTACTTTCAGCTTTTTTCCGCTTCCAAGTAACAGAAAAGTTACCGGTTGGTTTTAGTCTTGAAATTTTTTTAACTTCGTTGAGAGAAGAAATACGGATGGATAATGTTCAATTTATGTGGGAGGGCAAGAACCGATGGAAAGATATGGTCCTTTATAATAAGACCTGTCGGCCGAATTCATCGTGGTGCAGCATCCTGAGAATTAGGAAAATCGTTTTTCTTCGCGTAGGTGGCACACCACAAGCACCCGACGGACAATAATTTCGCGAATTTTGTGTCACCGAATTCCGATTGGCTAGCTAGCCTCTCATATTGGGGATGGCAACCTGACTATCTGGCACTCTACATAAATAAAAAAATCACTCCAGGAACAAGATGCAAGATCATCTCAAACTAGTCAGATACATGACATATGCAAGTAGCACAAGGCTTAGTAGCTCTTAGTTTGCTTTACGTACTGCAGTGTAAGCGAGTTAACGCATACTTTGATCCCTTCAGCCAGCCAGTTCTCGATGATCTGCACCATATTTTGATAATTCATGATGTAAGAGTTGAGGCCCCGGTTTATCACACATTACCCTTTTTTGTGACAAAATCCCTGCAAAAATATTGTTTTCCTATATAAATTAATTATTTCATAAATCTTTAATTATTTGAAGAATTGATTTGAAAATTATATATATAAGAAATAACTATATAAAGAATATTCAATTTAAATTGTTCCTTGAAATTATGAAAATTGATAAAGTTATAGATTTTTAAAGTTGAAATTTTTCAAAATTTACAACATGTAACACTTTTCCTATACAAAAAAACCACTTTTTTTCAAATTTTTAATTCTTTCAACTTTAAAAACCTATAACTTTATCAATTTTTATAATTAAAAATATTTCATTTATTTTTTTGAATGATTTGAATGATTTTAAATCTTATATATCATTTTTATAAACCTAATTTATACATTAATTGAATTAATATATAGTTTAAAAGTTGAAGAAATGAGAGTTTTTGGTGTGTTTTCGCTTAGTGTGCGATAAGCCGGGGCCTAAACTCTTACAATTAAGGCTTTTAGAGCTGAAACTCCAATGCTGGAATTGTCTCACGTTGATTGTTTAGCGAGCGACTCGAGGCTTCATCGTTGCCAATGCGAGAGTTGAAGATGATGAGATGCTATCTCACCAGGACACCAAATCCATCCCTTGCTTTTGTACATCTGTGCTATGTGTTCATGATATCTTAAAGTTAAGATGATCAAATAGAGATGTCACATTCCTCAATGCATGCATTTGGCTCGGTTGAAATGACTACGACGAATTCAATTCACATCTCATTGTTTCTCGTAAATGTATCTCAAAGATACCCTGTATTCATGAGGGGTCAACTCTGAAAGCTTTATTAGAGGTTTTGATGCTCGGACCAGGCAGTACACCTCTTCCATCATCTTGCATGATACTTTCACTAAAGCCGTACACTGCGGACCATCCAAAATTTAAGTCTTTGACTTGGTCGTTTAAACGCTGCAAATTTTGGCTTCGGCAAAGGTTAGCCACTGAATTTTTCCCAGTGCTAGCACATCGAGCCATGTAGCCTTTCTCTCTGTATCAGATGATATCCCCAGGTTTGTGACGGCGGAGATCTTCTTTTTCGAGTACCAACAGCTGAACAGCCTTACATTCAACAGATAAATCCCAACTTTGAGATTGTCAAGAAGAATGAAAATTGAAGTTCTTCCCAACACTCACAATCTTTACAACACTGATGTCCCTGCTAAGACTTACATAGCCAATGGGCGTGCAATCTCTGTTGTGCCGATTTTCGTTCATAGTCAACCACAGCTTACTGAATCTTGATTTCGACGCTGTTACAAAGAGGAGACTATCGATCCTCTCCAGGAGCCCCATCTGGCTCATAACACACATATGTAGAACCTCCTACACCTCAAGATTCATTAACTTCTTTCTTTGTTCCACTTCAACAGACTCAATCTTTCACGGCTGATGACCCATCTTATTGCAGCATTAACATGAAATATGTCAGCCAGCCAGCCAGCCAAGTGAAAGGAATTATGACTGTTACCAAAATATCGCTGAGAACGGAGTTTCTGCTTGCAATGGACTTGAGAAAATCGGCCCTTTCTCAGGAGAACTTGCTGGTCTCCCACCTACCAACGATGTTATATTGCATGGTGTCGACTATGGCCTGTCAACCATGGGATTCATTAGTCTCAACGCTGCCATTGATAACGAATCCACTAGTCTCCGTGAAATCGACGCAACTCTTGAACTCCACAAAACCTCTCACGGCTATAATGCCAGTGGCGGAAGCAGCAGCCACAACACCTCTGATACGCTCTTCGACGATGAATAGGGAGTCATCCCAGATTATAACTATTTAGAACCAAACAACAAGCTCATCTCCTAACAAAATTCGTGAGTTCAGTTGTAACCTTTCCTAAAGACACCACTAATATGCCTCGCTTTTTAGTCTCTTCTCCAACCACTCATCCTCAGCAACGGTACCGTCAGCACCCAAGCTTTTCAAACTGTCTGTATTACTAGCGGCCTTACATGGCCTCCTTCTTCTACGAAGGAGCCCTCAAGACCACAATTGGCCGCTACCTCCGAATCTTCGCTATCACAGTCTATGCCGATTACAAGATCAAGGCAGATGGTATCGACGGTATCCAATGGGACTCATCTCACATGGTCCCTATCAACGCTATCAAGGGTATCAAGGTCCAGTTCTTTTGATGGGTAACACTGGACAATACGAGTATTTGAATGCCGAGAAGGTGCCGATTATGCCATCAACCCATGTCCTGATTGTGAGACATACCCTGGACAGTACAACAACACCATCAAGAACGCTTTCAACTACCAAGCCGCTTGGTTGGAGAAGGCTGGTCGCTTTATCTAGATTGTCGATCTTATGATCTTTTGAAATTCTCTGCAAGATTTAATTAACAGTGTGTTTGTAGAAGAGGGGTTGAGATTTTGGACATACATATACTTTTATAGATCAAGGTCTACCTTTGACGAATTTTAGATTATGATCGATTGTCAATACCTATCATGATGCAAACCAAAACCTTCTCGTAGCAAAGGATAGTTCAGCTGGCTAGAATCTGCAACAAAATTGACCGACTTTAAGTTTGAGCTGCAGTTTATATCTTTCTTATCGGTAAATTTCATCTGGCTAATTACCACTGCAGCCATGTGGCACAGTCAGGAGAAGTGGGTCCAAATCCCCTCCTCCACAACGACATACCTACCTCTATCCTATATCAAAAAAGAGAAACTCACGACTATATATTCAATCTTTGTATGGGACAACAAATTAATCCATAGATTTGGTGCTAATTCAATATAATTCTACAGTTGAACCAACAACCAAATCAATCACGAAGTCTCTCGATATTTGCCGGACCCCACTCAAGATTCGCGAAGGATTATTCCACCCATGACACCGGTGTAAGCACTAAATCTCGGCGGCAATGTCTCTGCTTCAGCTCTATAGTTATCATCCAAATAAAGCTCTACGATCTATATTGTATGGGTCTGCACAAATGCAAATTTAATCTTAAAGTTTAAGGTTTTGGGTTGTGTTATATTTTCATCCTTCTGCTTATTTTTGATCCAAGTGGCTCATACCCCTCTGTCTGTATCTTTCTGTTTTGCTGTTTGTGTTTTTGTACTGTTGTTAGGAACTCACTCTTTTTTTCTTTCTTGTTTCTGTTTTTTTTTTTCAGAAATGAATAGTTAATGAATTGATCGAAGTCTCTGATATTCCGACATTCCTTGTTGAAATGGCATCCACCAAGTTTCCTGATCAGATTCTTCAAATTTCAAGAACAACCACGACATGGTTGCCATTATCTACAGCATGGCCTTCTACAGCCGCATGCTCGAGTTTAGTATATGTTGGATCGGGGAAAGATGCTGGAAAAGTTTTTGGATGGGATCCCTTATATCAAGCTGTTCTTGACACTGGTTCTCCGCGCTGTTTTGCAGATGAAATGGCCAGTTGGTGGCTAGAGCCAGCGAGCATTACGATATCCTTGGGTCCGACATTCAACTGTCCTGCTGCGTATAGCACCGTTGCAACTTCCGTTTATAATGCGGGTGTTACACAAGTTTTTTGTTGTCCTACGTATGTGATCACGATATTCTTACTCCTCCTGCAAAAGCACTCTTGTCCGAAAAATAACTAACATTCATAGCGATTATAATCTTTCGGTGTTAATTCCATCACATTCGTATGGTGACTACCCAACTCAATGCATGTCTACTCTCACCGCCGGCGATATCCTCAAATATCAAACTGCTACCGGTGGCATCTTCCAACCCACAAGTTTGACAGTTAGCTCAACACTACTTGTACATGGAGAACATATCAATGGATGGAACATCGACGATGCCGTATTTGCCTCCATGATTGGTTCTTCACAAACAGCAACAACAACATCCTCCTCTACATCCTCCTCCACAAACAGTGCATCCACGACAACACCCAAAGAGTCCGGAGGCGCAATAACCACAACCCCCCCAGAATCCGCCACTTTCTCTCCCTCCTCGAATTCTCAATCTTCCTCATCCTCAACCTCAACCCCTCTCACCAAGCCCACACCCAACAACAACTCGACTGCTCTTGCAGCCGGAATAGGAATCGCTGCCGCCGCCGTAGTCCTCGGTATTGCCGCTGCTATATTCCTCTTAATACGACGTCGAAAAAAGCGTGCACATAATATGACGCAAGAAATCGATTCAAAAGAAATCTATACCTCTCCACCATTGTTTGGTCGTGAGCCCGCTACGACTGAGTTGTCGAATGAGGTTCCCCCGAGAGAAATGGATGGAGGTGTTAATGTGATGAAGGAGTATTATGCTCCGAGACAGAATGTGCATGAAATGTAAAGGAAGGTTATAATTGGAGATTGCGTATTTTGGAATTTGATGCGGCGATTAGTTCGTGTGTATATTATGATTGATACCAAGGTTTGGAGGGACCACTTTGTTTGGATGGAGTTGGAATGAATGGGAATATTTTAGTACCACTCATTAGACTAAACTAATTCAATAAGTTTAATGTATTTATAATCGATGAAAGAATGAATACTAAAGCTATTATTGATAAGTATCAATATCGATGAGTCGAGGTTGGTGATAATACCAATCAGGAGAAAACATGAAAATAATACCTTCTAATTTCCCCGCTCTTCGGTTCCGAAGGAACATTCTCATACTCCATATCTTTCCGTCTCCACGTCTATAGACAGGCTTCTTCTCAATTCTATCATCCCATCCCATCCCATCGACTAAATGCCCACTCCCGGGACTCCTCCCAAAACAATTCTTCTCCTCCTCTCCGCCTCTCCCCTTCTCTCCTCCTCTAGCCCCTCTTCCCACCTCCCACAACAAACAAAGCAAACCCAATCACTCCCTTTATCCAACCAATCTTCCACTTTCCTCTTCGCACCTATAACTCTACATTTCCAACAAAGACTCTTATCAATATCCTTTTTCTCTTCCACTCTCGCAGCACTGGCGGAATCCCTCTCAGAAATCCTCGTTCCATATCCATCTCCACCCATTCTCAAACCCGGACTCCATACATTCATCATTCTTGCTCCTGTTAAAATCGGCACATTAAGCGCTTGTTGCTCTCCCCTTTCTATATGCGGGACATGCAATGCGCCAGTCATGAAGTATCCACTCGTATTCACACTCGTGTTTAAAGATACTGATCGAGATGTTAATGGCGTACCTGGAGATCTCGTATGAACACTTGTACGATTTTCATGTTCCAGATCGATGATGCCGAGATCGACGTCGTCTCGACTTGTAAGTGGGAATTCGGCATTAATGTCGCTGATGAGAGAGGGAGATAGGGATACTCTACGCATTGCATCGTTATCTCTGTTGGCGCCATGATTGATGTCAATTGATGTAGGATGTCTCTCGCTAGAATTTGTAGAAGCATGAAGGGAAACTGCCGAATCGCCCATCGATCGCAAGCCCCTCATACTAGGCATCTGCAGTTTGGGAAGAGTTGCCACGGACGGAAGGGGTAGGTACTGATTGCTGCTTGGAACTTGATAAGTATCAACTGGCGAATTGAATCTCCGATTTACTTCGTTCATAGCCTGTCTTCTTCCTTTTCTATGCGGACATTTTGGTATTTTTATTGGTACAGAATGAATGTTGGAACTGTGATCGACCAAGGGATGAAGAGCTGTCGAACTAGTTGCTTCAATTGCGTGTTGTAAATTAAGTATTTCGGAGTCGCGCGCAGTGGCTGAGGGAGTGAAACGAACAAATTTGGATTTGGCTTTTCCTTTGCCTTTGGCGGTTGGATTCGCCGATGTCAAAGGAGCAGTTGAAGGTAGTGAAGAAGTTCGAGGATGGTGGCTCAAGATTGGGGCGACGATAAGACGCGGTGCTTCGATTGGTGGTTCAGAATCAATTTTATGGACTGGTGCGCTGCTGAATGGATGAGTGTCGATGGCTGAGTATACACTTCTTGGGGCTCTGAAACGAGGAGGAAGTCTTGTGAGTCCTGGAGCCGATACTGCCCTCCCGGTGAAGAAAGATCTCGCAGGTGTTGATGAAAGTGTGAGCCCTGATGATGGCATTCTTAGAAGTCTTTGAAGACGAGTATGATGAGGTATTAAATGCTGGCGTGGACCAGGTCTTTGTGCTTCGGTCCAAGAGGGACATCCTGGTGGTGTATCAGGGCGTTCTGGGGGTGCAAGAAGAGGTTCTTTGGGTTTGGCATAAATTTCATGGATGGATAATGTGCGTCGGGCAGCTTGATCAATCATGGCACATGCGTCATGATAGGAATCCTTAATGCACCATATATCGTCAAGACTGAAAGATTGCTTATGTCGAGGGCGATTTTTGGCTATTGTAAAACTATCGCGATGACCAAGAAGTGGAGAAGTAGAGATGCCCTCTGCGGATTTCGTACGAGCGACGCTACGAATGGTGGATATATCATCTGCTGATTTGGTCCGAGTGACACTACGCATAGTGCCATAACTCTTTTGTTCCGTTATGGTATCTAATACCGTGCCATGACCATAGAGAAATTCCGTGGTGGTTGTAGTTTCGGGTTGAGTAGAGGTTGATTTCTGTTTCATGTTTTCGTCATTAGATAGAGAAACCTCGCAGGCTACTTGCTTGGAATGTAGTAATGTATCAGATTTATGTATACTGTCCTCACTATTGCTATTGGAAAACAGAAATGCTTCGAATATTGAATTGTCAGAACTTAGCGGAGATTCTTCCGAAGAGTCTAGGATTGCCCTGATGAAAGATCCTTTGCGACGAATGTTATTTGCCGGCGTCTGCGGAGGTGATATTGTTCTGGGCAGTAGAGGGTTTCTACTACCAGTTGGAGATGAAGGACTTTGGTGTACAACTGTTATAATATCCATGACGTAGGGAATGATATCCAAAAGCATGAAAGTAGAAGCAATGCAAGTAGCGAATGAATAAGACAAAAATCAGAAAATTCTCATATACATGGAGAGTAATGTCATGACAAAGGGAAACAATAAACAAAAACGTAGTAAATATCTATGTATAGCAAATTAAACTTTACGAAGCGGTTTACCCTATCGTGGAAAGAACCATCAACCTTCACATGCCAGTGCCGTTCTTTCCCAATCAAACGCCGTCGCTATGGTAAGACTATCTAAATAAAAAGATAAATTTCAAGTTCCCTCAACACCTTCAGCCGCCAATGCCTTTCGATACTCCCTCGATGCCTTCTCTAAAGTTTTGATGGTAGGTTGCATCATTTCTCCGACTACTTTTGAACCTCCACCAACGGAATCAGGGTTCCACTTTATTTTCTTCCCCGTCTTCTCCCACACATCTCTTAGATGTGCCTTCTGTCTCTCAATGATCTCATCTCTTTCATTTTCGGCATCAGCCGCGACAGCATTAATCCGGTCCATGGCTCTATCAAGTGTCTCAACCATCTTTGCAAGCTCACCTGCCCGATCTGGATCTCCTGAAAGGAATATAAGCCAGAAATGATGAAGGAATTCGACAGTAGTGGCATGTGTCAGTGTCAATCTATCAAACAGCTTTTGTGACAACCCCGTTAACGCGGATGTAGTACTAGAACCATCCATCTCTGTCCGTCGTGATGCGATTCCTTCAAAAACCTGTTTTTGGGCATCCATTAGACTGCTTTTGCTTCCGACATGAGGAGTCTTCTGTTCTTCCTCTTCCTCACTGTCACTCTCTTCATTCACTCCGATAGCTGTCCGCAGGTCTAAACCGCCAGCGGAATCAACGCCCATTGATGTGGGGTCGAGGTCAGATTGTAGACCGAGCAAAACATCGGAAGGTATTTGCTTTGCATAAAGAGCAGCTTCTTCAGATATAGCAGACTTTTCGCTTGAAAGGAATTGGCTCTGTTCTTTAATATTGAGCATGATTCTATTTTCTTCTGCATCGCCCTGAAGATCTCTTAATGCCAAAGAATTGAATGTTTCCTCATCCATGCCGATAGGGTCTGAGGGGTCTACGTCAGATGGGGTAACATGAGCCATGATTTTCTCGCTCAAGCTATTTAGAGTTCGGACAATGGGTACTTTTCCCGAGGCTTCAGGTCGCATTGTAAAGTCCTTCCGATTGCCTGCTCTAATACCCCCTTGGTTCTCTTCATTGCCCTCGAGGTCAATTATATGAGGAATGTGAGTAGAGAGGAGTCTTCGATCGAGTCCATCATCAGTATTGGCATTCAAATACCTATCAAAGGTAGGATCAAGACTATCTTGTTCACTAATTCGCTCCCCTTTGAGTTTTTTGAATAAACGACTGAGGAAAAATCTTGACCAAAAGTCCATCTCATTGAGTTTGGGAACATTCTCGTCGTAAACTCTCTTGACTAGTGGATGTTGACTGAAAATTAGTTGGACTTGCTCTGCGCTTATATTCATCTTCAGCTCTCCATCGACCTGACGCGGTTTTACGGCAGACAAGACATTGTAAGGACCCCTTTTTTGGCTCGATTCAACTGCATGAGCTCGCAGAAGGTTTGTTCGTGCAGACCAAAATTGAGAATTGAATTGGGAATCCGATATCGTGTCTGGCTTGGTCCGTCTTGCTTCCATATATGTTCGCTGCAGTGCTGGATCCTTCTTCATGAGTGATTGTTGTAGTTCAATGTCTGTCTTCAACTGAGCATCGTCATAAAACCTGGCATTCCCAGAACCAGGCTTTGATGCCACGGCGCTTGCCATTGCCATGGCTGCCGAAGCAGGCCCAGAACCATTTGCCTTGGGCACATTTGAATCCGCCGCTTTCAATGCACTAATCAAATTTGTCAAGGCATCTTTGATAGTATTCGCTTCCCCACGTGGATTTGCAGGGGAATTGAAATGGAAAAGATGGGTCACTGATTCCGGGGAATTTGCTGACTTTTCAAAGACTTTCAACATTACCTTTGCAGCGGTTTCGGGTGTCTGCTGCAAATCTGAGAAATGTTAATATCAAGCCAATGAAACCTCAAAAGCCGAGTAAAACCTACTGGTAATATCTGCTACCGCGATATTTACTGTCGCTCCCCCTCCATCCGCCTTCAAAGGTAACCATTGGATTGACTTTTCGTCTTTGGATATACTCAATGTCCCATCCTTTTTCTTGTATACGGCAAGCCCTTGAGGAGGTGGCGCCATGTTTTCATGCAAGAACCGAGTATGCACGTAATCGCATACGAATAAAAGAATATGGATTTGTTCTTCTTATAGTACAGGGGAAATTTTGTCTTCACCAGAAATGCAAGAACGCAAATCAAAGATACAAGATGAAAACGGAAAGAAGCCTGAAGGTAATTGTTGAAAGACTTCTTTCCTTTTGCCAAGTTGTTCTTATATTTTCTTATGTTCCCCTTGTGGGTTTATCTAATACTATCCCATACAATAGAATAGAATATAGCTGGTTAGATGAGATATCCAGACAAGTAGTAATAGTATGTGTATGGTCGTATGGAAGATGTTGCTATCCCCAGGTGCCTCTTGCCGTACTTTGAATTCAGCCTTTCATTGCACGATGACCTTTGCTTTGTTAATCTAGCTAAGGAATCATTAAAAAATGCTGACACATCAATAATGATGGTTATAGTCGAGCTAGTCTTGTAAAGGCTTAGTTTTATTTATTTTTCTATTTACCTTGGTTAACATGGAAAGAATCGGAATTAATAAATTCCGCTTCATTATTCTGATTCGTCGGGGTGAAATTTTCGGTATGCTATTTCTGATAATCGCCTCAATTACGAGGCTAAAACTGCATGTTGTAAGCTATGAGTATGTGAACGCAGACCAATCGCTTTCCATGCAGCTGTTCCACCCAAAATCTGATTCGGTGCGATCGTTTGACTCTGCCATTTCTATCCGATCTGTTACGCAGTTCTTGTAATTTGCTTAAAAATAAGACTTACTCCGCCTCTCATTTTCAACCTTGGTTGAATTCAACCTCCCTACTCTATCCTATAGAATACCTCTTGGTTCGGTCTTTTCCTACTCGCATTGGCAGGCGCAATGCTTCGAACTACACTGAGGCAATCGAGCAGCCAGCTCTTGAGAGGTGGCTGCTCTGCTAGAACTCTGTGCACAACTTCAAGATCACCTCTCTCCATCTCGAATGCCACATCGAAATCCGCCCTTTCATCGAAACGACGTTCTCTAGCCATCATTTCACAGAAGAGACATGAATCAACTACTGCGAGTGCCGCAGATTCAAATGACAGTTTCTTGTCCGGAAACACCGCAAACTACATCGATGAGATGTATATGCAATGGAAGGAGGATCCATCAAGCGTGCATATCTCTTGGCAGGTTTACTTCAGGAATATGGAGAGTGGTGATATGCCAATGTCGCAAGCTTTCACCCCTCCCCCAACTCTAGTTCCCACACCTACCGGAGGCGTCCCAAGTTTCTTGCCAGGCTTGGGTGGCGGAGAGGGATCAGAAGTCACAAATCACTTGAAGGTTCAGTTGTTGTGCCGTGCATATCAAGCTCGTGGACATCACAAGGCAGATATCGATCCTCTCGGAATTAGACGCGAGGCTGAGGAATTTGGCTACAGCAAACCCAAGGAGCTCCAACTCGAACATTATCAATTCTCGGAGAAGGATCTCGATACCGAATACTCCCTTGGCCCTGGCATTCTTCCACATTTCAAGAAAGCCGGTTGTGAGAAGATGACCCTGCGCGAAATCATTGCAGCATGCGAGCGTATCTACTGTGGTTCGTATGGTGTTGAATATATCCACATTCCTGACAGAGAACAATGTGATTGGTTACGAGCTCGAATTGAGGTTGACAAGCCTTTTAAATACTCAATCGATGAGAAGCGCAGAATCTTGGATCGTTTGATCTGGAGTTCAAGTTTCGAAAGTTTCTTGGCTACCAAATACCCCAACGACAAGCGTTTCGGTTTGGAAGGTTGTGAGACCTTGGTTCCTGGTATGAAAGCTTTGATCGATAGAAGTGTCGATTTTGGTGTCAAAGACATTGTTATTGGAATGCCTCATCGTGGTCGCTTGAATGTTCTCAGTAACGTTGTCAGGAAACCAAACGAGTCAATCTTCAGTGAATTCGGTGGTTCCGCTGCTGCTGAGGATGAAGGTTCCGGTGATGTTAAGTACCATTTGGGAATGAACTTTGAGCGGCCAACTCCTTCTGGCAAACGTGTACAACTTTCCTTGGTCGCCAATCCCTCCCATCTCGAAGCTGAAGACCCTGTCGTACTCGGCAAAACTCGAGCTATCCAGCATTACAACAATGATGAAAAGGACCATAAGACCGCTATGGGCGTTCTCCTTCACGGTGATGCTGCGTTTGCTGCCCAAGGTATTGTATACGAATGTTTGGGTTTCCACTCTTTGCCTGCATACTCTACAGGTGGTACAATCCACTTGGTTGTCAACAATCAAATTGGTTTCACCACCGATCCACGTTTCGCACGATCAACAGCTTACTGTACCGATATTGCCAAGTCAATTGATGCTCCTGTCTTCCATGTTAATGCTGATGATGTTGAGGCTGTCAACTACGTTTGTCAATTGGCTGCTGATTGGCGTGCTGAGTTCCAACGCGATGTTGTCATTGATCTCGTTTGTTACAGAAAGCATGGTCACAACGAAACCGATCAACCTTCGTTCACACAACCCTTGATGTACAAGCGCATTCAAAAGCACAAGTCCCAAATTGACATTTACATTGATCAACTTCTCAAGGACGGTAGCTTCACCAAGGAAGACATTGATGAGCACCGAAAGTGGGTTTGGGGAATGTTGGAGGAGAGCTTCGCTAAGAGCAAGGATTATCAACCAACATCAAAAGAATGGACCACCTCCGCTTGGAATGGTTTCAAATCGCCAAAGGAACTTGCTACCGAAGTTCTTCCACACAACCCCACTGGTGTACCAGCTCATACTTTGGAACACATTGCTACAACAATCGGTTCATATCCAGAGGACTTCAACGTCCACCGTAACCTCAAGCGGATCTTAACTAACCGTATCAAGACTGTGAGTGAAGGACAAAACATTGACTGGTCAACTGCTGAAGCACTTGCATTCGGAACTCTCGTCGGCGAAGGCCACCACGTCCGTGTTTCTGGTCAAGATGTTGAGCGTGGTACTTTCTCTCAAAGACACGCTGTCTTCCACGATCAAGAGAACGAGAAAACCTACACACCTCTTCAACATATCAGCAAAGACCAAGGAAAGTTCGTCGTTTCTAACTCTTCATTGAGTGAGTTTGGTTGTCTTGGTTTTGAATATGGTTACTCTCTGTCTTCACCAGATGCTCTCGTCATGTGGGAAGCTCAGTTCGGTGATTTCGCTAACAACGCACAATGTATCATCGATCAATTCGTCGCTTCTGGTGAGGTTAAGTGGATGCAAAGATCTGGTCTCGTCATGTCATTACCTCACGGATATGATGGACAAGGACCTGAGCATTCTTCTGGTCGTATGGAGAGATATCTTCAACTCTGTAACGAAGACCCACGTATCTTCCCTTCGCCAGAGAAGCTCGAGCGTCAACACCAAGATTGTAACATGCAAATTGCTTACATGACATCACCATCTAACTTGTTCCACATCTTGAGAAGACAGATGAACAGACAATTCAGAAAGCGTAAGTTTTATCATCCTCAAAGAAATTTCTTTGCTAACAATCTCTAGCTCTTATCATTTTCTTCTCCAAATCTCTCCTCCGTCATCCTATTGCTCGTTCGCCAATTGAAGAATTCACTGGTGACTCGCAGTTCCGCTGGATCATCCCTGATGCTGAACATGGCAAATCCATTAACGAGCCTGAAAACATTGAGCGTGTTATCCTTTGCACAGGTCAAGTTTATGCCGCCTTGAGCAAATACCGCGCCGACAACAACATCAAGGACACGGCCTTTACTCGTATCGAACAACTTAACCCCTTCCCATGGCAACAACTCAAAGAGAACCTTGACATGTATCCCAATGCCAAGACCATTGTTTGGTGTCAAGAAGAACCTCTCAATGCCGGTGCATGGAGTTTCACCCAACCTAGAATTGAAACTTTGTTGAACAATACTCAATACCATGATAGAAAGCACGTCATGTACGCAGGTAGAGATCCAAGTGCCAGTGTGGCTACTGGTCTTAAGGCTAGTCATACTAAGGAAGAAGCGAAGTTGTTGGAGACTGCTTTCTCTGTCACTCAAGACAAATTGAAGGGAGAATAGATTTTTTAGCTGGAGGATTGAAGATGTGAGGAAACAAGAGCAGATTTGTAATGTAGAGTGAGGGGATGAGAAACATAACATAACATGAGACATCACATTACATGATGGGTGATGGGTATCGGGTTGAATGCGATTAGAGCAAGATGTATTATTGTACAGAATTGAGTGGTAGTGGAAGTAGTAGTCTGACTTGGGACGAAACAATCGTTGAGACGCAGTTTTTTTTCGATGGTGTGACGATTGATGTTCACGTAATGTTTGATGATTAATGATTTGTATGACTGTGATTTGAAATCTTGGCAAATGCTACTTACTAGTCGGCTACTTTTAGAAAGCTAAGTGTTAGTGGAGTTTTTGGTGTTGCTGGCGTAGTATGGATACAGTACTGCGGATGCATGCGTAGATGTTCGGTAGCATGGTCCTGCGGAGTGATCATATCGGTGACAGTTAGAATATTCGGGGTGTTAGGGCCACGGGTACGGCGAGATCGCAAGTTCTATCATCTTCCTATATTATATTATATTATGTGTAGCTAGACAGGGTAGGTAGGTACCTATGTGTCAACAAAAATTCACTCCCTTCCCTTCCCTTCCATCTCCATTTTTCATAACAGCAAAAGAAGTAATTTCCCCATTGATATTTCATTCGCTGGAGACTATCTACCTATCTATCTATCTACCTATCTAAAAAGCTAGCTAATTACAACTTGAGAAATGCCCCATCGTGATTATTCATCCCTTTAATCTTTCCGTTATTTGTTTCCATATCCATCCATTTATCGATTATTATTCTTTCATTCATGTCCATCATTTCATATCCTTCATAATCATCATAATCGTCATGATAGCAAATTACCCATTATTCCATCACGCAAACCCGAATTCTCGTAACCCTGAAAACGCCAATTGACAAAAGATCCTTCTCTGTCGAATTCCTCCCGAGGAAATAAGTCGAGAGAGAGAGAGAGAGAGAGAGAGGAATCTTGAGTTGTTGCGAAGAGTAGAGAAAGAAAAGTTGATTCCCCATTTCAATCCATCTTTCCATCGTTCCATCCATCCATCCTTCCATCCGTAAACAAGAATCCAACTACTTCGATCCCATCCCTAGACTCCTCTTGAAAAGAAACCCCAAGATGAAGCCTCATTAGTTGCAAAAACCCCCTTCCAATTTGAAAGTAATCCACCCTCCCATCCTTACGCCACCAAATCTTTCATCTTTCCTCCTTTGTACATTCCCACTCTCAGAAAGGCGAGTGAGGACAAATGTAGCAAGACTTGAATAAGTAGATGAAAGACTAGAATATAAGCAAAGGAAATCCATTTGCCATTGTACCACGAATAATAAAACAACGAAGAATTGTCGAATATCGCAAGAACGAAATACAAAGAAAAGCAAGAATAGAAAACGAGTTGTGCGTTGAGCTGTATGTAGGAAAAGAGATTGAAGGAAAAGTTGTAGAGCGGTGTGATTCGAAGTAATCCTACAAAAAAGCATCCTGGGCTTAAATCGAAGCTGTTGGGCTTCTGGTTCGACTGTAGTATTCTAGAAAAGAAACGAAAGGGCCGAGTTTCAATTGCATACAACAGTTGTTGAAGCCAGCGAAGATTGGCGAGGAAATCTCGGAGAATTGATGTGACAAATATTCTGCAATAGATTGAATCGGAAAAGAAGAGTTTTTGCTGTGGTTGAGAAAGCCATAGCAGCAAGGACATCAATTTTTAGTTATGATTGACAACCGCGGCGTCAACTCGATGGCCCAATTGTTGCAGAGTTCTCTTGGCTGCTAAAGCTTCGACTGAAGTGTCAAGCACCATAACATCCTGTGCTTGCTGTAAAAGCAAAAGAAGCTTGCGGTTGTTATTGATAGCTTGAACTTTGTGTGTGAGGAATACAGCACAACCAGCAAGAACGATCTGTTGAGCTGGGTCTCGTTCAATAGTAAGGGCATGTCGGAGGGAATCAAGCGTGTTCTTGATTTCAGTAAGCGAGTCCTCGACGGATAGTGATAGGAATTGCTCATGCACATGGCCGTCATTGCCGTTCTCGCTGGGTGGTGGGTCTGATGCACCATCTCCAGCAGTGACTTGGACGTTATTTTGACCGTTTCCTTGAACTTGGGCATATGAACTCGGAATTGTTGGAGGAGCACGCATAGGTACACTCAATGACAAAGTTTGAATTCTGTGTTCAATAACAGAGTTTGAGGGTGGTGCATTTTGTTCTCTGAAAATGGCATCGACTTGAGCAAGGGACATCACAGAATGTTGTGCAACTGATGTAGGATAATCGGCCACCTGTGCGGTTGAATCGACAGCTTCATTGGAAGTTTCAACAACCTGAGAGCTAACAAGTTTGCTTCGGCCAGTTGAACCGTTGGTGGCATGTTCGGTTGGACCAACTTGATTGACTTGTTCAGCAAGGTAGGTTATTTCACTGTAAAACGACGCGAACTCCTCGCCAACGTCGCGTTCATTGACGAAGGGATCAATTTCAGGTGCCTGTTCCAAGATAACAGTAGGAATATTGTGCTGAGCAATTGTTTGTTCTGGAGCACTGCCAGAAGCGGAAGTAGGTAGGTCCATAACAGCCACTTCTGCTGTACGTCGATTTCTCATCATTCCGGAAAGGCGACTCTTGAGCCCTCTTCCAGCATTCTTGACAGAAGACATCGCACTAGACTTTGAAGCAGGCGTTGGCTTGCGGGATTTCGCATTGGCATTAGCGCGAGCTGCAGAGGAGGCAGTTGGCTTTGACAGACGTTCTGCCAACGATTGTCTCTTCTCCAGAGTGAGTTCGGTCGGCTTAAGGGTTTTATTTTCGGCAGAATCTGGCAGAGATGACTTGCGTTTACTAAACTTCGAGGTGGCAGCGCTCAGTCCCTTTGGCTTTGCTACCGGCGTCGTGTTTCTAGCAATCTTTTCAAGGACATGCTTTGATTGCTCAATATCTTCAGGGAATTCGTCAATGTAGAGACGAGTTCTGACCTTAGAATAACTGCAAATAATGATTAGAGAGTGGTGAAGTGGATCAATTGCGAATAAACTTACGGTGGCGACGTGCCTAGAACAATCCTATCGGCGTTTCTAGCAAAGCGCGTGGAGGGAAGCAGCGACATTTCTCTCTTTCTACCTATAGTTGTTTGGCTCTCAGATCGGCCAATTGGACCACCATGAGCGATAGCTTGAATGGCGGTATTGGGAGCGAGTTGGATGAGGTCTTCTTGATTGTTGGGAATAGCAGTGGCTTGAGAAAGGTCTCCTTGATCGGTGACTTTGAGCTGTTTGTCAGTGATTTTTTCAGTAAGATCATGGCTGGGGGTATTTTGAGCAACAATTGCTTTTACGCCATCAGAGCCATCAATAATGACATTGGTTGAAAGGTCGTTTAAACCATCATTACTGCTAACTTCGATCGTACTTCTGACGGAAGACTCATCTTCGTTACCAATATTCGTGGACAAAAAAGTTTCCTGATGTGTAGAAAAGCGGGAAATGACATTATCAACGATCTTGTGGGAGCTGCTTTCATCATTTATTAAGCTGGATCGGCTACGACGTTGATTTTTTGTCAAGGGACTACCATTCTCCTTCATGGAAGCAATGTGACCTGGGGATGCCAGGCCATTACCGCTTGGAACTTCGAGATCGTGTTCTTTAGCTGCGTCTGTTTCGGGTGTATTGGCCAGTTTAGCTTGATTGAACTGGAGACGCTTCATGCTAGCATTTGTCGCACGAACGCTTGGGACTACCATATTTTTGTCTTCTGGAGGAGTCAAGAGTTGTAGATTTGTCGAGGTGCCATAAGCAGTGCCAATCTGAGCAGTGCCAACTTCAAAAACAGAATCGGTGTCCGAATTGTAGGAGAATGATGGTGTGACAACAAAGGCGGAATCTTGAGTATGAGATTCTGTATCAACAGAGTCTGTGAGAGAAATTTCTTCCACCGTGGATTTCTTAGCAACAGATTTTGGCTGAAGAATAGGAAATTGCAAAGCGGACGAACTAAGGTCGGTCGCATCCAGTAAACCACGGCGCTCGGGCGAGTTTTCGAGGCGGAAAATCGGCTTAGGCGGCAATTTCTTATTGAGAGACAGTCTGGTAGGCTACTAACCGTCAGATTGTGATTGATTAAGCCGCAGTATGTTTGAGGGGATTTAAATAATGATGGGGCTATGTATTGAGATTGGAACGACATACCATTGTTGCAAGAGGTGTTTCAATGTCTGAAATGTCGAGCTCGTACTCAGCAATCATTACCTTAGAGAGCTTTGAAGGTGTGTATAGAGCTATGTCGTATTGACTGCAATTTCCTCGAGTTTGTTGATAACGAGCAAGACTTCGTAATGCTCTAGTACTAGTATCGCGTCTCAATCTTCTCTGAGGTGATTGAGATAACTTGCCAGATGTATCGAGATAATAATCAATATTGAATCCTTTGCAATCAGGGGTGGTAAAAGAATCTGGTGAGAGGTATTGGTATTGTGGTTTCGTATTGAAGCTGTTGGTGCGTTGCCTATTCATGCGAGAGCTTGCATCTGTTAAAACACCCCGATGATGGACATTGCCATCACGCTTCGGAGTGGCTAGTCCGCCAATCATGTTTGCGTATTCCACCATAATCGGTATTGATGAAATTTCCTTTAAACTGAACTTATCTTCAATGCAACTGAAACTGAAGCAGAGGAATGAACTTCGAAACAAAATTATCAAAGAGGATTAAAAGTTTAATTCAGTATCGTGTATTGAAACGCAAGTGAAGAAGGCAAAGAGATGAATATTTTACCACATCACAGCCATCACAGCAGATGAGTTGTGAGTTTACACCTGGTTGTTCTGTTTTTGTCGGTTTATTGGGATTGAAAGGGAAAGGAAAAATGGAAGAATTCAGATCTCGAAAGACAATACCTGCTCAGGCGTATAAACAACTGTGTGCTACTAGCGTGGCCGAAGGAAAGCCGTGAGCCGAACCAATACTACTCTTTCAATACCTCTGCCGCCCTATGTAACGTTCTGGAAAATCATTCTGTTTGACACTATGCTATGGTCTAGAGAATGTATCGTGAGTTTACAGATCTGTCGAAGAGAAGTCTGCAGTGTAAGACAATAGAAGAAAACGACTGCCATGGTTTTGTGTTACTAAGGTGGTGTGTAAATGTACACAAAGTAGAAAGAAACTATCTGTTTCAGAAAGAGGATTGGAATTGCAAGAAGTAATAGTCTCTTGTGTGGGGAGTGAGGGTGATTTATGAACCCTCTGGTTCAAGAAAAAGCCCTTGGGCCAATGAACAGAGCTCTATGCTTTCATGTAGCATGCCTACTCCGACGCTGTCTGCTTGTGTGAATATCAACTTTGTGGGTTTCTAGTAATCCTAGTTGCCAGTGTCTTTGAAAGGATTATGATGAAGGGATACTCAGGTAGCTCAAATTTGGAGGAGAATTTCATAGCAAAGCAACAGCATATAATCACTCTTTACATAATCCAAGAACTTGGTCTTCACATCTGATATGAAGACACACTTAGAGAGCTACAATGTCAGATGCCTCATGTCATAATGTTTGATTCGAGCAAAAGATGACAGAAGCAATACAATACAATACAAAGGGGATGAAATCAAATATGAGACTTCCTAGGAGTATGATTGAGCATCACTGGATTTCAAGTATTCCCTCTCATTTCTCCTGTAACCACGATGCAGATATGAGGTGAGGTTGAAGTGAGGTTGACGTGAGGTTGAAGTGAAGTTCAATTCCAATGTTTTGTCGGTCACCAATCAAAACGATCGTTTTCGGGCTTACATATTAGTCATCACTGCGGGAGCTCCCTGGTGCGCTCTCTAACCGAAGTTAATACACTAGACTAGATCCCGATCCCGTAGTTAAATACTTTTTATCAATATACCTAGGTAATCATTGGTACACAGTAGCTCAAGACCAGTACCGTGAAGATTTCTAGATATTGATAATTTGTAAGTTAATATACAGTATCATCTGGTATAGAGAACGCCTACTTACCGGTAAGGTTAATAGATCGAAGCACACTCATCCGATTCCAATACAATTGATTACCTAAGCACACAAGGTTATAGGTTATTATCACTCTTTTTCAGAGTAACTAGGTACGTTTCTTGCTTTGCACGGACCCTTAGCGCCTTCCCGGTTCATTTACGTCACTAAGTGGGCAAATGGTGAAAGCTTTCACTTCCATGGGCCAGCTCTTGATTTCCTCAACATAAGAAGTAATCTTGAACATTGAATCCAGAGCATTGTCTTTCTATACCTTTAATACCCAATTGACGTTACATAATACCACATTCCATCATGTTTGCAAGACAAACCCTTAGAGCGGCTCAGCCATTGAGAAGCGTAAGTTAAAGCTGTCTACTTTTTTTTCTCGCGGCTGCGAATCTCGAAGCTCCGAGCAGATAGCTTGCTTAGCAATCGCGGCAACAATGGCTCACAATCTTTTAAAACATTATTTTACATAAGTTAACACATTGGCATATAGCAATACCGACGATATGCCACCGAATCCTCCAGCGGCGGTGGATCGAATGCTGCCTTGTACGCCGGTCTCGCAGCTGCAGCAGGTGCTGGAGCATACTACTTCTTGAACCAAGGAGATAATGCCGCAAAGGTCAAGGATGCAGCAAAGGACGCAGAAGCTAAGGCAAAGGAGGCTGTTGGACAGGGTAAAGCTAAGGTCGAAGGAGCTGTTGGAAAAGCTGCCTTTACTGGTGGTGACCAAGGCTTCATCAGTCTTAAGCTCGACAGCGTGGAGAACATCAATCACAACACCAAGAAATTCAGATTCGAGCTTCCTGAAAGTGACCAAGTCAGCGGATTACAAGTCGCTTCCGCTCTTCTTACTAAGTATAAGGGCCCAGAGATGCAAAAGCCTGCGATCCGTCCTTATACCCCCACTAGTGACGAAAGTGAGAACTATTCATAACTCCTTTGTATAAAGCTTTACTAACTCTCCGTTAGGCGAAAAGGGATTCATCGATCTTCTGGTAAAGAAATACCCCAATGGCGTTATGTCCGAACACATGCACGACATGGTTCCGGGCCAAAGATTGGACTTTAAGGGACCTATTCCAAAATACCCATGGTCAGCAAACAAGCATGACCACATTGCTCTCATTGCTGGAGGAACTGGAATCACTCCAATGTACCAACTCGCACGAGCCATCTTCAACAACCCCGCCGATAAGACAAAGGTTACATTGGTATTCGCAAACGTCACCGAAGAAGATATCTTATTGAAACGCGAATTTGAAGATCTCGAGAACACATACCCACAACGATTCAGAGCTTTCTACGTTTTGGACAACCCACCCAAGTCATGGTCTGGTGGGAAGGGTTTCATCAACAAGGAGCTCTTAAAGACTGTTCTTCCAGAACCCAAGACCGAGAATGTTAAGGTCTTTGTCTGTGGTCCACCAGGAATGTACAAGGCTATCTCTGGTCCCAAGGTTTCTCCTTCGGATCAAGGTGAGTTGGCTGGTGTCTTGAAGGAGTTGGGATACTCGAAAGAACAGGTTTATAAGTTTTAGAGGGCTGCTATCATAATTTAGACCTGTAAGATAGAGATACTTATAGATAGACAGACTGGAATGAAAAATCACATATACCCACAGCAACCTAAGCGTCTTAATTGAAAGGAATGGTCGCTGCTCGATAGACACTCAATCTTTTGTGTTCATTTCTTAAGCTTGTTTCAATTGTTTTGACTTTCATTTCCAAAGGTCTGAGGCATCAATAATTGCTTGGATCAAGTATTCGAAAGCCTCTTCTCGCCATCCTCTCCATACTTTTCCAAAGATTGTTCAGTGTAAATATCTCCTTGAAATGCTGTTTTTTCAACAATGCGTGTTCACAAGATAAGAATAATGAGCAGCAACAACAGTTTATGGATTACAAATGTTTGTCTAAATTCATCATCATTATATCATATCTGCTCTATCTATTAAGTACGTCTAATATTCCTATATGGCCTCTATATCTCTCCCCCTAACACTATATTCACGCTGTCCAAACACTCCAAATTCCCCAACGCACAAAATTCAAATTCAAATCCAAAATTCAAATCCAAACCCCATATTCCCTGAAAAGTCCATTCTTCCCCCCCCAATTCCTAATGCGTCGCAGCAAAACGGCTCCACCCCCTCACTTTCTCCCCATAAACATAAAACAAATACGGCACCGGCACCATCACCGCGCTTATCCCCCCCAGCACCGTCAGCGTCCACTGCACGCCCAGATTCTCATAGAACGGAATTCCCACCTCCACCATTCCCCCCGCCGCCACATATCTCACAAGCGTCAAACTCGCCAATGCAGACGCCGCGTACATTTCATACGAATCAATGATATACTGATACGTACTTATGAAGATACACAGAATCCCGAATCCGAAAAAGAGCAAAGCGACCAGACCAGACCATGGAGAAATCGAAGGATAATTCGTCCACCCCATCCAGAAAAGCGAGATCGGTATAAACGGCGCTCCGAACATCGCAAACCAGAGTCTTTTTTCCGGGGGCAATTTCGCTTTCTCTCCATGAATCGCGCGGAGAGCTTCTAGATCCCTTTTCGCCCAGTGATGAATCAGCGGAACGAGACAGGTCGCGAAACACAGTCCGATCGCAATACCCAGGAATGCGAGTCCGGTGAGCCCTTCGCTGAAATTATACGTTTCCCCAAAAATATACGTGTATCCGTCGAGGAAAGTGAAGAGGATAATGTATACGACGGTGAGATAGAGAGCGAAGAGCATCACGATGGGTTCGCGTGTGATGAGAAGACAGGGTCGATATAAGGCTTTGAGTAATCGCGTTTGGAATGGGTCGGCGCGGATTTCAACTTCGGCTACGTAGCGCGAATCGCCGGTGATGCGACGCAGATGAGCGGCTTTCCATTTGAGGAGAATGGGGGCGAAGGTTTCGGGTTGGAAAAGTGTGATGAGGAGGAGGATGGCTCCGGAAAGTATCAACGTAATCCATTCGCACCATCTCCAGCTCACGAGTGAAGATTGTCCGATGAAGCCTCCGACGATGGGGCCGAAGATGGGGCCCATGAAAGCGGCGTTGGCGAAGACAGGAAAGGCATACACGCGCTCCATGGGAGACCAGAGATCGGAGATGGAACCTCCGGCGCAGGTGAGGGGGGTGGAACCGAAAAACCCGGCGAGGAATCGGAAGATGAGTTGGGTGGTGAGGTTGGGGGCGAGTGCGGAAGCCATGATCCAGATCATGTAGATGAAGAGGGTGGATATGTAGACGGGGTTTCTGCCGATGGTTTCGGATATTGGTCCTAGAGTATGTATTAGCATAAATGTTCCAAAAAACGCATATAGCTATGTAAGTCATAGATCAAGAAAACCATATAAACAAAATGAAAGCTCACCAGCAAACAAAGCCCCCAATCCAAATCCCACAAGAAACAGTCCCGTCGCCAACGATTCCGCCACCTCACTCACCCCAAAGTCCTCCGCCGCCTGCGTCAACGCCGCGCTATCAATCGACGATGCAAACCCGACTGTAAATCCAATCGATGCAATCATGATGGTGCAGAACCCTCGACGCATTAGCGACCAATTATGCGGATTCATCTGATCTTTGGAGCCTTCATATCCGACTACGAAAACCGTTTCTCTCTCACCTTGTTTTTCATTCCCCGCATCATTCGCGTGGGGCGTTTTTTGCAATTTAGATTTCGATTTGGATTTTGATGCAGTCCGCGTCCTCGTTAATTGTTCAGATAATTCTCGTACTTCGATTCCCGTCAATATATATACCAGTCGTGTTCCAAAACTGCGCGTTGTGTGGGCCGTCGCTCGAGTAGCCATCCGATCAAGGGTTTCTGATCTCGCGTTTCCATTTTCATCATCTTGTTCTTCTTCTTGTTCTACATCATCTCTCTCTTTACCTTGATTTTCTTCAGTGTAAGAATCTAGTGAAGGGGTATTTGATATCCCTCTCTCTACTTTCTCAATATCGTGCGTATGAAGCTCCGAAGCTGGGGATCCTGTATTATCAGAGGAGGAGGAGGAGGAAGAAGAAGAAGAGCGAAACCCTCCAGACACATCCCTTCCATTCACATTCACATCCAAATCCAAATTCAAATTCCCAGATTGCACATCTTTATTCCCCCTCTCCAGCGCCTCAGCCCTCAATCTATCCCTCTCGAATTGCGCTTCGGTTAACCTCCCAAAACGTTTATGAGTCAAATACGACTGCATACTGAAAACTTCCTCGTATGCTACGTACGTATCAGAAATTCTTGATAGAATTTCTCGAATTTTCCCTTCGAAAATTCAAGGGTGGAAAATAGGTTTATATATAAAACACAGAAGAACTCATACACCTACCTACCTACTAATTAATATAATACAAACCCACATCGGAGAAAAACATTCAAGACAAATCTACAGACCCCATAAGAACGACTCATAGTGGAACCTCTAAACAGCATAGCTTCGTAATCGCACTGCACACAAGCCATAATAAATGCTAACCCAACCCAACCTTACAGCTGAAAACCAGAATCGATGATAAACGATTTTCTATCAACTATGAGTCGGACTCCGGTGGAGTATTTTCTTTTTTCCCCTGCAGATTGATAGTGGATATTGCGGAAGGCGATAGTGTTATGACGCAGATGACAAAGGGTGGACGATTATTATTGGGTCTGTTGATAGAAAGTGCGCGAGAAATCTTGTGGCGAGGAGGGCCGAGAGCGGGGCGAACGGGGGGAGTGACCGGGAAAGCTTGTAAAATCATAATCGGATATAACTCCGAAAATGAAGTTTCTTATTCTTTTAAAGATATTTTGTAGGCCGATAGAATGACTCGAGAATCGAGAGTAAATGATACTTGACATCGATCTAGACCACATGTCAATCTAGCTGAGAAAGCTAGTTCAAACTATGGATAGGTAGCCAAATAGTAAGGGAAGCCCACGTGAATCAAGTCACTTAGTATTCTGCCATCTGCCTGGTATTATTAAAATGTCCTCCCAACTCCTATTATACCTAAAAGTGTCCAATTTCAGTCGCCTCAGATACCCTCCATAGACAATACCACCAAGTACATCAAATCCCATCTATATGTATAAATGCCATAGGCAAATCAGCTACCGCTAGTCTGCTTGCCACTTCCTAGCGCAGAAGTAAATTGTCCAAATTCCTGACCATCAAAAATCCTTAAATATTCCGCCGCATTTCTCCATCTAGTCTGAAATCTTCTTAAACAATTTCTGATAGTCTCCAATGCCTCCTGAGATTGTGGGTTACGGCTTTCTCTCCATTCCCACATGTAATGCTGGCCTGCTGCCCACAAAGAATCCATCATCAATGGACTGACTTTATCAAGATCGGCTTGTGTTTGTGCGTGAGTATTGACACTCTCGGAAAATTGAACAACGCTAGCTGAGAAATCTTTTAGACCTTTGATGGCTTGATTGATCATGGCAGCTTTTTCGGAGGAAGTTCCTGCACCGCACACCTTGCCTGCGAGACAGGCATAGGGGCCAAGAAGAGCAATGATTGCGCTGTAAATAATGGCTAGTGGGGTTGCTAACATGAGATAATCTCTAGAAATCATTGCCTCTTCATTGACTTCGCGAGCGAGAACAGAACAATTATCGAGAAGTTGACATGCAATATCAAAACGGGCTGTCTCTGATGGAATTTGCTCAGTGTAATGGTGACGAAGAACATTTCCCAGAAGCACAGATCCTTGACAAAGTCGAGCAAAGGGTGTTACAGACTCGGTGAGCAAAGTAGACACATGCTTCTGGATGGTTTGAGTCATATCACCGCTATCCTAGATACCAGTCAGTTCAGAGATATCGGATGTTTTAATTTGAAAACTCACCCACGCAACATCGTCTACAGGTAAGGGGTCATCTTCTTTTGGTTCTTGGGTAGTTAATCGGTGATTTTTGCTCCCAATGGAGACCATTCTATGCCATGTAAGTTTTGTAGTTCAAAATTGTGGTGAAAGTCTCACCTATCAAGTATAAGAACACCCCACCATGTTCGATATCGCTCTTCTTGCTCGGTCCAGGTATCCTGAATATCGGTTCCAATTAGAAATGTAAGATGGAAAGGAGAGATGCTGCTTACAACAGGGCCAACCAATGAAGGAGAGGTATCAAAATCGTTGATACCTAATAAAACGGCATAACGAGAGCACCAACCAGCAGACATCCAAGCAGCAGGATATATTGCTTGTCCATACTCATAAAGAGTAATTAGGATGCTAGCTTGTAACAATATCAACGATACCATTCCAGAAGCTTCTAGTAATGCAAGAAAACGCTTTGCAGCGATGTACATCGGATTTTGACCACATCCTTGACCATCTACTGGTTTGGATGTGATGAGTTTCATACAGAGAAATAGCAAAACTAAGTCTGCATTACTATCCCGGGCGGGAGTAGTCAGAGTTCGTTCTAATCTCTTATGAGAGATTATCGGAAGGCAGTGATGAATAGTTCCAAAGTATTCTAAGATGACAGCAGGTATAGCTGCTCCACTTGCCAACATTTGATTGACTTCCTATTCAGTGATTATTAGCAGGTTTCAAGGTTGATGGGTTTGCATACAATGGTGATCGAGTGTAGTAAGTTTATGCACTCCAGGAAAGGAGTTCACTCTTCTAACGGGCTGTCAAAATATATAAACAAGACGTAACACTTACTGTTGGTGGGTTAACCGAAGGTCTGGGGATAGTTAAACTGAAGTCTGGTCAGCAACGTCAAATTGACTATTAGAGATCTTATTCTTGCCCTTCATTCCTGAAGATTTCGTTATCCAGAACAGCCATGACAGGAAACTTATTGTGTACATTATTAAACGGGCTTTCTTGTGGATCTACATATGCAGGCATTTGAGATTGCATATATTCAGAGCCGTTGTTAGGCATGGAACCATAAGGCGCATGCATATTTCCACCATTAACTTTGGCTTCAAGTTCAACCAACTTCATGCGTAAAGCATTGATATCCTCGGCTGTAGGAGCAGGAGTTTGTTCAGTATAATCACAGTGTCGTTGCATTCGAGAGCAAAGGCCACAATGTGGAAGCACTTTATCGCACTTTCTTTTTTGTTTCTTGCACGTTACGCATGCCTGCAGTGCTTTCGGCTGCACAGGCTCTGGAGACGCAAAACTCATGCCATTCGGTCCATTCGGTCCCATGGATCCATGAATCGGTCCTTGAATCGGTCTATTCGGATGATCCATCTTCGGTCAAATCGCCCAGACGGCTCTAGAGAAAGCTACTAGGGAGGTAACCTACTTTGTTTGTTGCGGCCGCATAAATTTCAACCCCGCTTGATTAAGGCAATGAAACCGGATTTTGACTGTTTACTACACAAATTAGCATTTCTTGATTGAAAAGGTCCGGATATGATTGAATGGATTCACTTGATAAATTCTTTGCTTGTTTGCAATGATTATCTGGTCAATTTCTTTGATGGTAAAAGTCTGAACACAAAAGTGTGAAATTGGTTGATTAAGAAGAAGAAGCGGTGTTGTCGGCCGCAGTTTGATGTCTTGGAAGCTCGGACCATCGTAGAATGGTTGCTATGTCGGGTAAACCCCGGAAAATTGAGTGTAAGTAACCACCATCCAATATCAAACTGATGAATTCATAATATTGCTTCGCCGCTTTGAAGATGGCACAAACAGTGGACATGAAAGAGGCTGCTGTATCATCGAATTACTTTGTCTTTTGGAATCAAATGGAAAGCACTGCAAGGTTACTTGCTGTATTATAGTGACTTTCATTCTCAATGGTTTTCCAGCTTATCACTTACTACATTCCCAAGAAGACATATGGTTAAGCCAGGACATCATTCGTCGAATCATCTAGTTCTTGATTACTATTACTATTACATGTTTCATATTGTCATGCGATACTTGAAGTTCTGGTGCCAAATCACGGATTCATCATAGTTCCTGGGAGGATTCCGTACAGGATTGGGAAACCAAGAAGCAGTTGAAGCAGGCATGAACTCATTCATTTTGTTCCATCAACATGAGTGCATTCCTAAGCAAACTCTAGTATACTAAACCACTTGCCACTCGGGTTCCGCAATAACAAGCCTGGTAAGTTCCAATACATCAACATGGCAATACCAACAGATAGAAGCAAGCCATTGCCATACTAACTCATGTATCAATACTTCTTTGAACTGGGACTCTGCTACATATATGGAAAATAGAGACTCTTTCATTCTCATCGACAACTTGCTCATTTACACAAATATGGAAAACCATCGTTCAATTCACAACGTCGATAAGACCATCTACATCAAACTTGACTGAGTTTACCAAGACAATATGGTCTAATCTTCATTCAACGGTAGAATCTCCACAGAACATCTGAAATAATCAAATTAGACAGGCAAACCCGATTTCTCAATCAAGCTCGAGCATCTACCAAATACAATGAGAGAACGGAACAGAGCAGAACGCGGTTAGTCTGAAAAGATGTTCTGATATGGCATTTTATAGTAGGCAGGTATGCGTGGTGATACATAGGAGGTAGCATTTTTTTATATCCCGATACAGTATATGCATTTTCCTTTGGCTTCCGGCTCTAGAGTGAGGGACAGGAGGTTGCTTAATTTACTGCTAAGTTGCAGTCATTTGTTATCCTACGTCAAAAGCGAGACTTTGATACTATCTCCTGTTCATATTCAAACGTGGTCGAGAATTCCGTGCTACTTGAAGTTTCTAAGGCAATTCTTCCTAGTGGGTCAAAAAGTAAAAGACAATAGTGATTTTGCATTTCAGTGTTATTAGAAACTTTGACATATCCCCGCTTTTCTTATTTTCCTTCTATGGTAACGCTCAAGAATATGTGTGCTTCCATAGAATCTTGACATGAAAGGTGAAGCCACCATAATCCTAAATAGTCCATTTTTAACATGAAGTCCTTGATGTATCTTCTATCACCAGAAGCATCTAATAGCAAAAGAATCACATCGATTTAATTGTTACCAGGTAGCCCCAAGGTGCAAGTGGTATCAAGTAGTAATGGTAGCTCAAGTGATCCGATTCCCCATTTTCTTAACCCTAACCCCACCAAATCCTAACCGCAGTAAAGCAGAAATGACCCCAGATAATCTCAACCTCATAACCCAACTCCGCGCATTCAGAACTTAATACCGCTCCGGCGATTCAGGCGAAGCAGTCAAATCATAATGATCCACCGTTCTCTGTCTCTTATTCGATGGCGTTCTCTCCGGACCCATCGGTCTCTCTCTACTCGGTGTAGTCATCAATCTCGTAGGACTAGATGGTAACATCGTACGAGCCGAGGAGAAACTGTGAGGAGCTGTTGTTCGTATTGGTGTTTGAAGAGCCAACGTGCCAGCTACTTCGTCAAGAGTTCGCTCTTTTGAATCCTGATCGATGTTAGTTTTGAATTTTGTTTGACAATGGGAGAGGGAGGGAAAGCATACAACAGATCTCTTGATCTCCCAAAATAGGTTCAAGAGTGTTCTTTCTTGATCTGCAAACACTGCTGTCCGCTTTTTCTTCGCTTCCGAGTCTTGATTTCCGAGAGCTGCAGTGACTTTTTGTTTCTTTTGCTTGAGTTTTAGTTGGAACGTCGATAGTTGTTTGTTATGCCACTATCAAGGAATGAAAAGTCAGTCACCACTTTCATTAGGCAGTTCAAAAGATTAGATATGAAAAAGCAACCCACATCTTCCATCTGCCCTGGCCAGTCTTCTGGAATCGGCATCGTCTTATCCAGACTCTCAATCCTACTCTGCAATCCCAAAGCCAAGTCTCCGACGAATTTGGCTATATCAGTATCATATCCATCACATTCTTTCTGAAATCTTTTCTGTAAATTGTGAGTGAATTGTCGAGCATCGTTATCATTCGCCTCGTACATTTGGGTAAGTTGGTTTGCGATAGCGGCTAGACTGGGTCCAAGTGGTTCATTCTCAATGTGTGCGAGAAAGTCGGACATATTGGAGTGGATATCGACGGGAGTTTGAAGGGCTAGTTCCCAGGCCTTAAGTTTGCGCCCACCTATTCCTTTGGCGGTTGTTGGTGCCGTGGACATTCTTATATTTGGAGACTATTGTTGTTATTGTGGTAGTCGTATTGGAGTCGCCGGTGGTAAATAGTAGATAACTTTTGATCTCGAGAGGTTTCACTAGGCGATCCTAGAAAAGGGGGGATTGTCTCGCGAGTAATTGCGAAGTAACAACCCGCAAGGCAAAACACGGTCTCCAGATATTTTGCAGGAATTGTCTGAAGCTTTCATGAATATCGTAATCAATAAGATAGATATGACTCGAAACCAATCCAAACTCTGAAAAACAACACTTAGACTCAGAGGAGTAAAATAATTCTAGAGGGAAGTGATCTTAAATACTCTTTCGAAAACCTTGATATTTTAATGAAGAAGAAAAAAAGTGAAAGAAATTCGGCCCTCGAAAATCAACTCCTATATATGTAAAATTAACACAAATAGTGAATTGATAATTTGCTCAAAACACGTGTTGTAGACGATCTTGCAGTGAAATAAAGAGTGAATACGCGATTGTAAATTGGGTAGCGTAGAGCTTGGCTGAGAAGACAAGGTGAAGTTTTGTATTGGATTTTATGGAGGGTACTTATTGTGGGATGTGGAATCATTATTTTGATGAAGGGAGGGGTGAGTGAACAGAGTTATATAGAAGTGGTATGTTGAAATTTGAGAGAGTTGGTTACGGTTGATGGGATGGATGGTGATGAGATGGTGCTAGGTACTTAGGAGGTAGTTAATGCCTTTGTGCTTGTGACGGAAGACTCGAGACTCGAGATAGGAGAGAGTTGTCCGTGTGGTTTATCTTTAGCTGTGACAGGTCTGGGGAGTTCTGGAAAATATAAGGAGATTTCCTGATGCTGATGGAGTGGCTGTACTTGAGTTTGAGCTGAATGTGAGAATACCTAGATGAACCGAATAATGTCATTGTGATAGCTGCTCAGTGATATATTGCTGGTTGAGATTGTTGCAGGAAGTTCTAAAACTAGGTATGTGACTTCTCGATGGTAAAGAATGCAGCTCAAATACGTATGTATTTTCATGTCGCTGTTGATACAAAATATGCTGTTGTGGGTTAGCACTACTTATCTACTTCTATCCGGTAATAGGAATGAAGGCAAATAGAAAACTCCTAAACTAATGAACACCCCTTATGCCAAAACCAATCCTATAAACCAACGCCCTCAACCCTCCACAAATCTTCAATGTAATACCGCACCTGGCACAAAACTCTACATGCCATTAGGGTAGCGAATACTATGCGCATCCTAATCATCAATATCAATCACGAAATCCGATCTCTCGTTTCCTAATGAAGCTAATTAGTAAGTATACTCGCTTGTGAATCATCGAGTCGCCTCAATGGACCTCCCGCGGTTGAAAACATTTCTATTGTTTTAATATGTGCTGTATATGATGAATGAGGACATCATCCGTTCTGAACGGTATTCTGTGGCATCTGGGACAGAATAATAGCTGTGCTCCTAATAAATTCTTCTCGTTGGTGCTATGTTTTCATTTAGAAGAGGCGGTGCTCGTTCAACTACCCTTCTATACCCCGTAATCAAGTTCTCCCGCCCATAAGTAGTGTCTTCTTTGAATTTCTGTATTTATCGATCTGGGAAATACTAAACCTAGACTCTTTACCCTGACCTGACCTCCATTTCTGTTCTTCCTAACTCAACCACAAGTTTTCTCCCCAATATCAACATACCTATTCTTCAAGCAGAATGATAGACTTCCCAGCCAATAATTCGGGTAATAAGCAAAGGTCCTGCAAACTCAAGGTCCCTCAGTATATATCCATGCTAGAGCTAGTCGAAGATCGTCGTCTCTTTTAGCAGTAGATGCTCCCCGTAGGTTATGTATATACATACATATCTCCCCTAAAGAAGCTACACCTTCCAACCACCTTCTAACAACCAACAACCAACAACCACCACACCTCACACCTCCAAACCCCTCTACTCCCCATCCACCACCTTCCACCCATCTATAACCTCACCATCACTACCGCCCTCCCCATACACACATCAAACTTCACAATGAGTCAAGTAAAATACCTACTCTAATTTCTGAGTCACAACTCCCAAACGTTGCATCTCACTTACGCTCCATGAGCACGAGAACATCTCAACGAGAATCATGCTTTGTTATCATCACCATCTCATTAAATCCGGAAGCATTGCAC